GATCTTGTATGTGAAGAACATAGAAATAGCACCATATTTTTTTATAAATAAAAATTAGTGCTGTCAAACAATTTTTTATTTTTTTTGTTGATTAATTGCATAGTATTGGTGAGTTAAGAATGCGATTAATCGTGAGTTAACATTTTACTTCAAATCCACTCCAATTCAAGTTAAATGAGATTATCAAATGTAATGACACATGTCATTCATACCAAATGTACTTCAATCTGTTTGATTTGCTCACAACCTTTTACTTTTGGCACAACCAACATGAACGGGAAAATTTACGTACCCCAGCTTTAATTTAGCAAGTTTTGGTGGCGTTTCAGGGGGAGACACGGAGGAGACACGGACACACCCTGAAGCTCCATAGTTCAGCTTCAGCGGTGTATTTGCGTGCGGTTACGCACAGGTTCTGTGTGTGTATGGTCTTATCGATGACTTTCAACCATGTGACCAAAACTGATGATGTATTCAGCGTCCGCCATGTTGGTGGGTTACTTATTTGACAAATGAATGGAGTTGTGTTGACAAGTCAGTTGTTTTTGCTTGGCACGGTGGCTGAGTGGATAGCACTCTCGCCTCTCAGCAAGAAGGTCCTGGGTTCAAATCCCGGTCGGACCAGGGCCTTTCTGAGTGGAGTTTGCATGTTCTCCCTGTGTCTGCGTAGGTTTCCTCCGGGTACTCCGGTTTCCCCTACCACTAAAAACATGTACAATAGTTCAGGCATGTGCCTCCTGTACTGGCCCCGCTCCCATCTCTGTGTGGAGTGAGAGACAAATGCCAAAAATTGACAATTGTAAACCGCTTTGAGACTCAGATCTGCAGTGAAAAGGCGGTATATAAATAAAGATTACTACTACTACTACTGCTTGGGTAAGTAATAAAGATAATGTATCAGTATTTTTTTTGTTTAGCTTTGTAGTTTAAAGCGATAGTCTGTAACTCTAAATGAATTACAAATTTTAGGAAATGTGTTAAATTGACCTCCTGGCCTTAAATGTTGATATAAAATAAGTCATTTTATTAATTCTAATAATACGGGCAAGTCCCGCCTTCCCTGCTCTTAGCTATAGTTCAGAATCCACGGTGCCGTCGAGGTTAACCAATCGAGTCATGCCAAGGGCTGTCAATCATCGGCGCTGATGCTCGCAGCTGCGCGCATGCTCAGTTGTTTGTTTTCGCGGAGCCTCTATTAGGCTCTGGAACTACATGAAAACTGAACAAAGAATTCTGAACATCCGCGCTGAGGTACTTATGTATTTACTGAACCTATATCCATAATCAGATCCTCTGCAGAAGTGTCCTATAATGTGCAATTCATGATAATAGCACTTCCTGGTTTGCCGCGATCGCTTTTTTTGTGTGCATAAAAACATTTTTTTTTTTTATTAAAACGTTCACAAATAATTCTGAAAACCTCCGTGCATGTGTATTAATAATGTATGTGTATAATATGTTCTCTGATTAACATTTCAAAGTGTTACGGAAACGTAGGTGTAGACCAATCAGAAAGGAAGGGGGAGGGAGCTTGTGTCGTTTTTTTCAAATCAAGTACCTCTCTGTCTCTCTTTCTGACAAACTCCAGACAATCACTTTAATGTTTATGACGCCACGAGCGTTGCGTCTTTTATAGATTGTACCTACAAATGCTGTTAACGGAGTGTTGTTTTATTCTTTTTTTAATCAACCAGTCCGGGGCGAGCGCGAGAAACACCATTGAGAACCATTGAACCCATTAGCCCCGCGGACTAAACTAATGTGACACGGAGGAGGGCTAGTGAGGAGGTTGGAATCTCGGGTAAGTTATTTTAACTTTTCACAATCGTTAATACATCGTGGTATTATTGAGCGTAGATATGTAATCCTCCATTTGGAAATGAGTCCAATGAGTTTTAAAAAGTAAAACAAAACGCGTGTGTCCTCCATAAACTCCTCTGTTTTGCTAGCTGCAGCCGGCTGCATCCAATTTCTAAAATCAACCGTCTTACACTTCACCTCTTTCTTATCATTCCTATAGTCATTGAAAAATTACCCTAAAGGCATTTTAAATTATCTTAAAATGTGTTATATGTATGTTAGCCAAACCTGTTGCTGCCCTTAGCAGATAAACCAGGAAGAGCAAGGAGCTTATCGATGGAATTGTATGCAGCCGACTTCTGCGCTCACATGCGCTCCTGAGGCTGACCTCACGGTGATACAAGCCGTGGTTGAGCGCGATTAAGACCCATATTTGTTTCAAAAACACAATTTATGAGCCATCCTCTCAACTGTAGACATGTAGATTGTAAAGGAAATATGTTTTACATCAGCCAATAATTGCTGAGAAGTTTTCTCATCCTCCCTTCTCTCATGACAACACGCACACGAGTCCTATCACGAAGTAAAAAGAGAAGTTAATTGTGCGTCTTGAGTAGCGCGCAATAACGGGATGTCGGAAATGATAACGGAGTTATAGTTACAGTCAAAGTAACTAGTTAGATTACTCGTTAATGAAAAAAGCTAACGCCGTTATTCCCATCACTGGAAATGAGAGACCTGTGAGAGAGTTGAGGGGCGGTGCTAAACATTCAAAACTTGCCGAAACTTTAATATAAATTATTTGGTGGGAGTGTCATTGTCAAAGCGTCCACTAGATGGCCGTCTCGCAGCTCTGTGGCTCAAAGAAAAATACTAATTACAACTTGCAGCCCTCGATAAGCTGAGCGAGGTAAATGTTTTTGTGTTTGTAGTTGTTAGGGAGATTTAATTTAGGTAATGAATGTATTTTGTACCTACACGCTACTTATTTGAAATGTACTATGTTTCTTTGTAAATTTTTCACGGTCAACATGAATATGGTATTATGTCCATAAATAAAACAAACACCCTTCGAAACGTTGTCCTTCCTGTAACCTTGGGGGCCAGCAATATTGGTACTGTTTCTAGCTAAACCCTAGCAGGTGGATAGCATCCGTAATCAGTGGAGCTACATGGGTCAGCACTAGATTATATACGGAATTGGGACGGAAGTGGAAGTAAATATAACAAACTACCTATTCATGCCTAAACTTTACCAGCCATTCCCATAAAATAACCCAAACCCACCCTTAACCCTGACCTTCACCATCTTATTCAGACGCCTAAAACTTAACCAGTCACCATTGAAGGACTTTTTAGTCTAAAACTAATTCGAAAGTAGAATTGTTACTTCCATTTTTGTCCCGATTCCGTATATGATCTAGTGCCGACCGAGCTACATGCGTCACGGGCAGAAGATTCTGGCAACAACTGTTTGGTTGTAATTCTAATAGCCAATACTTTTTTCTCAGTCTACTGCTAAAATAAACCGAAATGAAAATAGAAAAATCACAGCATTCAGCCCTAGTGTAAATTCCAGTTTTTTTTTTTATTGCATGTCCCCTTAAACACAAAACACTACCTTTTTATTATTATTTTTTTAAACAGTGCTTTCACAGGTTTTCATTGGAAAAATAACAGAAGAAAAGAAAAAAAAGGAAGTGTAGAGGAGCATTCATTTGAAAAAGCAACAAAATCAACATCTGGAAGTTCTTTCACCTCTGGACCCTCCCCCTCCACTAGGCTCCTCTCCGCAGGCCTCCTATAGTCGGGTCTGGAAGGAGTTAAGTCCATGCACACCACTGCAGGAGCGTGTTGGTATGTGAAAATACATACATTCTAGTTACAATAAAACAAAACAATACATTTCAACATGATTTTATATAAGAATCAGAATCCTTTTTATTCCCATGTGAGTAACAGGAAGTCACAAACTAGAAAATTGCAGAATAAAAACAAGAGGGCATGCATAAATAAAAATCTACATACATTTCTTCCGTTTACTATAAATACAAGTGCACTAGGTGCACACAGTAGACCCTTAAGAGTGCGGTAGAGTAGCCATAAGCCATAGTTTATGTTCATTTTGGCATTTTAACATGATTGTGAGAATTCCAGTTTAGGCGTTTCATGTTCATGGATGTGGGGGAAATTTCGGAAAATACTGAATAAAGATGAACATGAAAAATGGAGTAAGAGATGGCAAGAATGAGCAACACACCAATCTTGTGATATGGGTGATGCGAGATTTTGATTTAAATCAACAAATATTTGTTGTGGACTGACCAAGTGTTTGCCGAATGCAGAAGCTAGCTGGAGGCAATTTCCTTTTTTGGACATTTGTTCCGATGGCGTTAGCTTTGCGCCGTAAAGCCTAGTGTATAGTTGCGCTGAGCTTACGGCGGTGACGTGATGTCACTTGCGCAACGCAAGGATCACCACAAGACCCTTGCGTAGCCTGCCGCGCACCCTCAAAAATTTCTAACTACGCAGCCGCCGCCGCAGAGAAGCTCCGCTGTGATTGGTCCGTGTGTGTGTTTTGGACGGAAACATGGAGCGGCTGCAGGAGCATGGACGAGGCACTGTTCCTGTCTTTGTTTGAATCTGCACTCGTAGCTTATTGCGTCTTTTGCATTCCTCCTGCACTTGAAAATCGTTCATGTTTGGTCTCAGATATTTACCACTTATTGTTTTGCTGCTTGTGCTGAATACAATTTTTATAATAACTATGTTTCCAACAAGAAATGTGTCTGTGTCTTTATTCACAACATCACATTTGAAATTACTTATATAGCGTAAATGGGACCGCTTTTGTTTCTCAGGCAACTCCTGTGAGATCGCCATCATGTGGTTGGGTGTAGGATTACAACTTTCTCTTCAAAACTCTGCAAGGGGAATGCGAGAGTGGACGAGCCACTGTGGCTGCGCAGGTCCAGCGCAACCGTGACCAGCGCCGCGCGAGTATACACTAGCTTAACAGGGGCAGATGTGTTGCTAAGATAAGCCAAGCTGGAGTTTCCAAAAACACCAGGATCAGAGGAAGCGCTAAACCATTTTTTTTCAAAGCCAAAAATGTGTGACACAAACGTTTACTGAGCTAGAGGAGATTACTGGTCCCTGTAAGTCAATAGGAGCCAGAGCGTGCAAAACTTCGTCCATGATGCTGTAATTTGTCAGAATTCCCCCGCCCCAGAAGCTGCAGAGAGGCCGCAAACACAGCCCTTCGTTCTGCAGGTCCTTTTAGTTCAACAAGAGACAAAAACCAATGTTAAAACAGTAATAGAAATGACAGATACCAAACCTGATTTCAAAAGGTTATATTGAAGATTTTGCAAGCAATATTACAAGATAACGGTCCGCGAACAGGTCTCGCTTCGCGTTTAGATAAGGAGTGGCCCCGGGGACGTCTTTCACCCTCCTGGTCAGAAGAAAAAGAAAAAGTCCCCCGTGACCACTTCTGCACATACATTTATACTTTACATCCAAGGTCACTTGACATCACAACTGTATGGACCCTATGACTCCTTCTGGCCCGCTGCCAACGTTTGCACCTGCTCTGATAACCACTTGTCTCCCTCTTGTCCCCCTCCCATTCTCACACAGACTAACCTTGAACTCACTGCTCTTTGAGATTTACACAAACAAGTGCTAATTTGGCAACAGAAACAATACTAAACTGATTTTAATTTTAACTGGTCCAGGAGTTCAATATTCCAACAGTCCCCCTGTTGGCCGGAGAGGAACTCTTCGGACATCCATCACTCTCGTCTCAGATGGCCCATCTTCATCAGTTGATCCAGCATTACATCCTATACTCAGTCTAATCCCAGTCTTCACGACGATCTGTGAACTCCTAAACCACCCCATGTGACATTATGAAAAATGTGGTGGTCTTCCACTCAGCCCTTACTTCAGACCCGCCCCAAAGGCCTCTGGGCGGACTGAGCATCCAACTCACCCTAAACTACATACATTGAAGTGATCCTATAAAACAATCTATATGTGGGTGTGCTGCGGTGTCTAGTCTGTGTAACAAAAACAATAGTTGCAAGAGCTGTGGAGAAAGAATATGTTTGTGTCGTGCATCAATTTGAATTATGTAATTTTTTATTTTAATTTTTAATTTTTATAATTTTTTATCGCATCCCCGATTTTCCCAAGTCCCTCTTACAATTTTGCAAGGTTATGTGCGTTATTTACATGCAAGCAGTTATACATTTTTGATTAAAATATTTTGATAATATCATAAAGCATACTCACAACTCCTCTGGTGATATTCTGACAATATCACAGGCCATACTCACCCGTTCTTCTGATGATTGTCCTTTATGGCTTAGGCTATGGTCATCAATTCTTCTGGTTCCCACTGTAGGTCCTGGGTTAGTAGCAGTTGTCTTTCTGCCACCTTCCCTTCCACAGCGGCTGTTATCACTCTGTTACATAAGGATCGTATGCACGGAATACAACAGCATCCACATAGCGTCAGGATTGCTGCAAATACAGCCACCGATAGTAGAGTTGATGCTATCAGTGCCTTGTATCTGCCAAACACATCCACC